AAAATTCATGGGCAAGAAATCTTACAACAGTATGGATTAACATTAATATAGATGAATATGTGCTCTATAATTCGGCGCCTCATGTCTGCATGTATAACTCACCGACTTTACAAAGATATCCTATGGGAAACAGATGAGAATAAAACAGCCAAGTAAATAGCACTAGATCAGTAAGACGTTTGTCCCTCTGTATATATCTCAATACAAGAAACGGACAGAGTCTGAGCATTGACTGTTCTGTATCTTTATCTTAACACGCTTAAGATATATTGAAGATGGGGAGAATAATAAAGAATCTACCAATATATGTTCTCTTCTATCTTCCCGAAAACCTAAAAACAGACCATAGAGAGAAAGTAAGAGAATGCGCCTTAGAAAAAGCCAAAAGGCGCACCATTACCATGGGAGGGAGGAAATGAAGGAATAAAACCAAGAGGAAAGAACACCACCTGAAGACGCCGAGGGGGCAGTGAGGCTTGTGAGCCTCTGCTTAAAGGCAAGACTGTAAAGCCAAGGCGGACAGCATTATATGGTTAACCGTAAAGAGTAAAACTTAAAGGCTGATAACGAACCCAAACACAAGGACAATAAGCCTTTAGCCATAGGGCCTTAACAATAGATCATACACCATACACACTCAACGTTGAAAAATAAGTAATAAGACACAGATCAACCCCATAGAAGGTAAAGAAGAAACAATAGGAAATGACGACACAAATTAACCCCTGTGGGAATTATACGTGATGCCTAAGGCAGAAACCTTCGGAGGGATACTCTGATGAATGATTCGAACAAGTCAACCAAAAAATCTTGGAGCAAGAACAATAGCACATATACCTGAACAGTGCACAGTACACATAAAGTAGGGACGGTAACACTAAAGCGTGCAAAAACCACCCACCACTACATCAGAAACAGATACCCCCTAAGGGTATTCGATCAGCCATACGCAGTAAAAAGGATTCCGCAGAAATGGAATCTGAAACCTACACCGTCAACATACGGAGGACAATCCTACCCCTAACCAGATAAAAAATAGCAGCTAACAGCCGAGATAAGTGGGCATATATAAGAAATTAGCCATACCAATAAAGACGAGAAGGTGTCAATAAACTCTAACCGTTAGGCCTCATACATAGAACAGGAAGGTTCAGCCCTGACATATGCGGCTTAAACCCCAAAACATGAAACCGAAACACTGAACCATAAATCGTAAAAATCTAAGGATAATCAAAGTACAGAAGGCGCCTAATCAATGAATCTTACCCGCCTAAAATAACTTATCGGACAATACTAGTAGACACTAAGAAGGAGAAACAACCCGCCGGCAATACACAAGCGTCTGGGGGCGTAAAAATACAGGATGACGCCTGACCACTACCATCAAGAGTGGATCCCCGGGGATAAGGAATAAAGAATTAATCCTAAATATTAAAGAATAAAAAGTAAATGGTAAAACTGGACCCAAGACGAGAAAACCATAAACCAACAGAGCAATCGCCTGAGTAAAACCCGGATGAGAGAGGTGCTTACACCGTGCAAACTATCTGCGTACAAGTGAAGCCAACAAACCAAGGAATCGAGGTAAAAACTATAAGAGGAAATGTAAACTTTAACAAAAATCCATAGGATATGAGCACTGGGAATTACAGGGAACTAAGCGAAGCAGGAGGGTCAAACATGCAGAGGAAGCCTAAGCAATAATGGGAACAGCCTAAGGCCTAAGGAAGGAGGTCGACGGCGGAGCTTAAGCAGTCCGAGGTAGGAATCAGATACTAAGGGAAAGGAGCAAGGACTGACAACATACTTCTGCGATCTACAGTTGCAATCTTTACGAGTAAGCATTGCCTGTGCCCCACGGTCCATATAAAATGGAGATTACTTCATCATCACGGAGCCATAAGCGATACTTGAGGCCCCATACAGATTAAGGCCCAGCAGTTAACACAAAAAGAATAAGGAACCGACTCCCAGGCCTAAATCCAAAAACGAGAACCTAATCATTCTTGGCTATAAGATACAGCCTAAGGAATGAAACCAAGAGAGTTAACAGTACATGCAAGGATAATAAAGAACAACTAGAAACACCCAGGCTGAAGCATTCAAGTTATAAACAATAAACTCTGAACTTAACGCCATAGTGTTGCACCCTGAACATAAAGCCTAAATATGCCCATAACGCGCCAAATCGGGACCCCCAACCGTTAACAAATTGAGTCGTAATGGAGAGAAGGAGCCTCAAAATTATAACCCATAAACCGAAAACAATAGACAGCAGCACAGGAGGAGTTATAAGTTGATCCTAACAGGTAGAAGAGAAGAAGATCCCCCTCAAATCGGACGAATAAGAGATACAAACTAATCGAGGCACAAGGAAAAGTAGGGGTCCATTCCTGGGTCTAAGGATAGAAATAGCCCCTAAGAGGTAAGCCTTAACTAAAGAGCTATAAATATAAGCTCCGCCCACTTCAAGAACCCCCCCTTCCCCCAGAACCGTCAGTCATCCACCTTATAGGCTACAGGTGCTTCCTTTAAAACCGCGAACCGCGGCCCTGAAGTCTGAAATTCCCTGCTTCAAATCCAGGACTAAGCCAGCAAAAGTAGATCCTCCACCTTAGTTCATACAGTATGAAATCTGAACCTAAACGATACGGCCGACGAATTACATCAAGCGAACGAACCAAAAAAGAATCCATGAATCCTCAGTATCGAATCAACAAATCTACAGGTAGAATCTCGACACCAGAAGCCAAGTTACAGGCGCATGTAGGATAAACTACAAAATCTAAAACTGGAACTGTGGAACCAAAAAGCCAAAAATAAAAACGAAGTAGTAAACCCAAAATCAGGACGAGCAACCTACGAGTATGCACCTTGGATGAGCCGTACGAACCAGAGTTTGAGGATACATGTACGTCACAGTGCCGGAACCAAACAATAGGCATATATAGTAATAACTCATGAGAAATAGGAAGTGAAACCTGTAGGATCGTCGTTGCAAACTACCAGCTGAATCATAGAGCCGAGGAAATCCTCCCTGAAAACTACACCGTAAATCCCAGAGCCAGGAGCCGTGAAGATTCAAACATAGGAAGAAACCCCTAGAAGCTCAACAACGACAAATGACCCTAATCGTTAGAGGATAACTCCTAAAATCTCACCAGAAGAGCTTAAAAGAAATGACCAAGAGCAATCGAGATAACGTATATCATAGGCGCCAACCCTGGAACTCCATGGTTTAAGCCAGGAGCAGAAGATATATCAATAGACACGTAGGCTCTAAATCGGATTCCCAAAGAAAAATAAGTGAGAAATAATCTAACTCAGCTGGATACCTCCAGTGTGAAGCATAAGAAATTCTTTCACCTGGCGCTAGAAGATAGATATACGAGGAACAGGACCTACCACTGTGCCCCAAGGAAACAAAAGGCAGAAAATTGCCGCTCAAGGCTAATCTAACAGCTCAGGATACGGCCAAAGAAGTTCGAACGAAACCGCCGTGAAGGTTACCAAGAGAATTTAGAGCAGGAAAATCAAGAACTCACCAGGGGATAGAATTTTCTACCACGTAGAGCGAGGAGGGCTAAGAACTGAATCCTTCCCCATGAAAAATTGACCCTTACGCGTAACACAGAAGCCTAAGAATCGAAGAAAAAGAAGTTAAGCAGAAACCGGACAACCTAGGTCCTAGAGCATAAACCCTAAAACATAACACTAAGCCCTAAATCTTAAACCTCAAAGTTGAACCCCGAGGCAAGAAACATCGAGCCCGAAAACTAAACCCTGGAAACTAGGCCTTAAGACTAAACCCAGACCCATGACACCTAGAGAATACAACACAAATCTAAGCCAAGACGATTAAAACGTAAACATAAACCCTCAACATTAACCACTAGACCGGAAACCTGGAACCCTAAACATAAAACCTGAATGTTGACAACTACACACTGGAGCATAGACCTACTGACTGAACCATGATCCCTAAGCCCTACACCCTAAAAGGAACAAGCGTAATCACTAATGAGGCAAACCTAAATGGCTAGCTCCTACCCTGTAGGGGCTGAACAATAAGTCCTAATCCCTAAATCCTAGAACGTATCGACTAAATCCTAGACGCGAAAGCCTGAAGACTAAACCACGATGCCCTAAACTCTGAACCGAGAACCTTAAACCCCAATCCCTAAACCGTAAACGCTAAACCTGATAGCATAAACCCTAAAGGAAAAACCATAGACCCTAAACCCTGAGATCTGAACATAATCCCGGAAATCTAAACCCTAAACACTGGACGGTGAATGTGACCCCTGAAATCTAAAGCGTAGGCCCGGAGACCTGCCTCCTGAAAAAGAGGCCCCAGACTCTAAACCCAAGACATTGACTCATAAAAGGTAAACCCTCAGCGCTAGGAGTTGAACCCGGAGACATAATTCCTGAGAGCTAGAACCTAAACCGCCGAACCTAAATCACACCCCCGAGAGCCTGGACCTAAAGGTCAGATCCTAAACCGTAGACTATAGGCCCCACACCGTAGACTATAGACCTTGAACAGGAGTTCGCAGTCCATAATCCGTGGAAGACTCGAAACTAGGCGTTGGATGCTAAATCCTAAGGACGGAGTAGCCACAACCAGAAGCGAACAATGAATCCTAACCCCTAAACCCGAAATAATAAGGCCTGCCCTTGTGACCCGTAATCTCAACTCCTAAGTCTGGAACCTCGAATTGTTATTCAGGACACCTAATCCGTAAACCCCTAATGCCTCAAGCAAGTGCAACCATCAGACACGTAAGCACACAAGCTCGGGTGCCAGGAGCTGAACTCCATAAGGTCTCTCCTAATTCCTTAAAGCAATCTTATCCTGCCTGGGGACACGAGCCCATAACGACTTGGCAGAAAGCCTACTCCTTCAATGAATCCGGTGCTATAGATGCTCGGGGTGGTTGGGGTGGTTGTCACAGGAGTAAATGGCTCAGGTTTGGGCCCTTTGAGTCCTATTCAGGCTAAGCAATGGAGACACGAAGGTCTCTCCGCCTTCCCCTTTTTCGTCTAACAATCTGTCCGGCGTGGAAAATACGATAATATCCATAGGCTCCCACTATAGCCATTAGAGTCGCCCCTGCCCCTGCTATAATGTGCCCCACGCTGCCCGAGCCTCCATCCTCGCCCTCAGAGATATGACTACCGGTGCTGCCTCCTTCGCTTTGTTCATGTCCTCTCGGTTTTATGGTAAAGTCTTGGTCTGGAGAATTGGTTTTATGTTGGTCTGGTGTTGAGGTGTCCCGGGCTGTTGACCCGACTGTTTCGGTGTCACTTCTTTTGGGGTCACCACCCCTCGCGGTGTTTCTGTGTAACGTTTCTATAACTTCTTCCATCCGGGACAAACAGTCCTTGTCTCCGGTTCCGCACTGTCCCATTCCTCCTGTCTGGCCTATTTCTGTTAAATACCTCACTTGTTCTCCTGCGCCGAGTTCCTGGTGCCTTCCGTTTTTCGTGCAATAGATTTCTTTGTCCCCCGAATTTTCCCCATAAAGGAACTCAGTTATAACTTCATAAACATCTTTTTCGCCCAATAATTCGTGAGATTGCCCGGCTGTCCCTTTGGATTGGTCCACAAACCACGTATCCATGATTTTTTCAGCCAGTGTCATTCCTCCCCACTTCCTTAACTGCTCATAGAATTTGGAACATGGATTGGATTCTTTTATTACGCTGGCCTTCCTTTCCCCCGTATTGGTCATCTGGAAGTAACCCATCAACATTGTTACGACCTCTCTACAAGCCAAGAAAGTACGATCTCTCTCATTGTTATTCTTTAATCTGCTTGTGTAGGTCAACCCACTCCAATGAAAGTGTCCGCTTGGTTTGTGACACTCCTTGCTGTGTTGACTCCTCGCGGCTCCTCTTCCTGTTCTGCTGACTGTGCATTCCCCCCACCTGTATCGTTCTGGTCTGCTAGAGATTCTGTCCATGTGCGCTCCTATCATTTCTAGACCCAAACAGACCCCCGCACTAAAGTTCCATACTTTTTCTAGGGCCTGTTCGGAACCCTTATACGCCTCATGTAGGTACTTCCATCTTTCCATGTGTTCCTCCCCTCCCTTATGTTGTTTGCTCAAATAATAGCCTCTTTTCTGGTGTGGTTGGGGGGGGCCACCTGCCTCCTTCTTCTCGGAGCTGCTCAATAAGTTGTTGAAATATCCTTGTAGTTGCCACATTTTTGCTCTTCTCTAACTCTAAGGACACACTTATATAGGCTTAGACTCCTTTATTTCTCTTCTTATTAGGAGATGCGATCTCTGGTTCCCTGGATGCTTGTGGGGTTGGGCCCTCTCCTGTTCAGGCTCGGGAAGTGACGTCTTGCCCCTGTTGGGGTGTTTATGCGGTGGGGGGATTTTGGTTGGGGAGGTATGGTCTTTTTGCTCTAGTTTGTCTCGTTCATGATTCCTGATGTCTGCTTCGAATAGCTTTCCATATCTTCCCTCTTCTCCCTGCTCCTTTTGGCTTCGGCGAGACCTGCTGTACTAACTGAACTTGGCCCTTGGGGTCCTGTCTATATATGGAACCCTAACTTTGAGATCATCCCCTGCTGGGGGGGGAATCGACTTCATTGGTTCTTTTTTCTTGCTGCCTTCAGCCGGCGAGAAGTCTCCTTAATCTCTTTGAGGGGCCTTCGGTCTTGGGAAGGTCCTGTTCCCGTTTCCTGCAGTCACCCTTCTGCCTGGGGTTGTTGATCAGGCGCCTGGGGATAGCTTCCTTGGTTGATTTTAACCCCCCTTTACCTGGCCCGTCCATCATCATTCATTCCCGATTGCTCTGGGCGATTCCTTGGGCCTACTCTCTGCTGGTGGGGACCCGCCTTCGGATTTGTTCTTGTCTCTATGCCGTGACGTCGTCCTTCCCCTTGTTATGCTCCTGCATCGGATCTACTCTCTTCGGTTGATTCATATGTTCTTCCTTGCTGCGACGCTGCTTACCTGAAGCTCCGATCCTGGAGTTGCGTCGGGTGCGAAATTACCCTCCTCTTGCTTCCACCTACGCTTCTATTCTTCTTCTCCTCATCTTCAATTTCTCCTTGGCTACTGCTCAGAGAGGCTTTTGTCAGGACTCCTCCCTGCTACTTTCGTCCGTTGCTGTGGTCTGCTTTTTGATTCTTCGTTTGTTTCACCTTTGTTGTCCCCCTTCCTTAACGTCCCCCTAGGTTTCACTCTGACTGCCTTTTCAGTTTCCCTCTGCTTCCTGGTTAGCTTCTCGTCTGGCCTGTTCCTCTCCCCCAGCATCCTGAAGAAACATTGGATTGGCTCTTATTCTGCTAAGTCTTGAACTGACCCCTCTACCCTGAGGTTTCTCTTAGACTTACTTCCTGTTAACAGGACTATTGGGCTGTGATGAGCGGACTCGTTTGCCCATCCTTGCTTGTTACGGGGGTGTGGGGTACACCGAGGTGATGTTTTTGTTTGGGGAGGTTAGTCCCCGTGTCCCTTTCCCTTTTATCCGGAGCTTGGTTAATCCTGACGTGCTGCTATTCCCAACTCGGTATACTCAAGTAACCCCACCATAGTGGCTGATCCTTCATCTTTTCTGGCTACTCCCTCAGGGGTCTGTCAACATTCTATTGTTATCCGACTTGTTCCTGCTTCTGTCTCTTGGCGGGGTTCTATTCATTGGGCTTCCTAGCTGCTGGGTTCTCCTCCTGCAGAGGAGTTCGACCAGAAGTGTCACGTCAGTTGCCGTTGCATTTTTTTGGGGTGCGCTCATTTCTGGGGTGTCTTGTCGGGATTCGTCAGATCTGTTTTGTGGTGGATGCTACCTCCCCACCTAGACTCGTCTTTCCTTGTGCTCGATTTAGGTGTGCTTGACGCTCCCCTGGGTAGGCGGTTTGTTTAGTTCACGCCGTCCCTGTGTTTGTGTTTTTGCTTGGGTTGTCCCCGCTCTGTTTGCTTCTATTATTATTTTCATTGTTGGGGAGTGTCTGATTTATCCTGTTGTTGTATCTTCTGCGGTTCCTTACAGGGGTGGGTTCTTTCCTTTTTCTGGTTCTATGACTTCATTGTTCTTGGCTGTTGTTCTGGTTATACATGTAACTGCATTCGTGCGCCACGTACTCCATCCTAGATATCTTCCACTATTTGGGCCTTTTTTTTTCTGATTTCTTCTTTGTCGGTCCTTGTTTGGCTTTCCTTGTCTGGTCATTGGTCCGGCCCTTTTCTAAATTATAAAGAGTGCTATGTCCTATTTTATAGCTGAAGGCTCCTTGTGATTTTGTGGTCTTTCTTGAGAATTGAGTGATTTACTCTTCACTTCCATTTCTGTGAATTCTCGCGCCCGTTCGCTTCTTTGGTTTGTTTCTGCTCCTCTCCGGATTTTTGTGCTCAGTAGGCCCTGCTAGGGGGTTGTGGACTCAGGAGAGAGAGGTCGGCATTGGTTTCGGTTTTAGTTTCCTGGGTGGTGCAGTGTAGGCGTTGCCTGTTGTCCGAACATCCTCCAGGACTCGTGCGTCTTGTTTCAGGGGTTTTGAGATAGAGTCACGCTGTTGGCAGTAGTTGCCGATTTAAATGCTAATCCTTCCTTAGTGGTTGGAAGGCCTCCGGTTGTTCTCTCCGAATCCGAATCTTGCTGCTCTCACGCTTCATAGAAGTGTACTTCCTCTCATGGAGAATTAATTCCTTCTGGTTTTGTTTATGTTCCCTACTAATGTCCTGGTTGTCCTTATCCTTGCTGACTTTTTAGCTTCTAATTAGTATTACCCGTTTGAGTTCCCTTGAGGAACGTTCTAGGGAGGGACTTCTCTTCTCCTGGAGGTTCCCTTGGGAGATCCTACTGTTCTTTGGTGCCTGGGTGGTAGATGTTCTTGCTGTATTATTCTTCTGGGATAGAATTTCGCAGGGTGTCTTTGCTTTCGGGGATCCCTAGTTTGATCTAGTAGGCTCCCAATCCTTTTCCTTTTGAGCACATTGTCTTTATTCTTTGAGGGGGCTTTAGTTTTGTCTCACTTTTCGTTTAGTTTTGTTCTTGAGATTGTTTGTGATCCGGGACACTAAGCACATCCTCTGTTGTAGGTGGCTTTGTTGGCGTGTTTCTTTTTTTCTCGGTCATATCACCCTGTCTTCCATGCGTGTCCTTTGAGTTGTTGGCGTCCCTAGAAATCCTTATTCTGACGTAGTTTTTGGGAATCCCTCTTGTCTACTCCTGTCACATTCCTTATCTCTACGGGCAGGTTTTTTATTAAGTCCTTCCCTTTCGTCATCAGGATTTTTTGATCTACCTTTATTTTTTCCATTTTGTTGTTCAAGCCTTGTAGCTTCACGCGTTTGGGTTCATAAGTTCCTTTCTTTGGATTCAGCTTAAATTGTCATGTTGAGTTCCTTTGGCTTGGAATTGATCCCTTGCTGAGTTTAAGACTTGATCGGATTGATCTGTTCTATAGCCTTCAGGAACTCTTCTCTCTGACCCTTCATCTGCTTCCTTCCCTCCTTAGTTTTTAATGGCTAATTCTGCCTCTGACTTTATAGAGAGGGGGGTTGTTAATTCAAACTCTGCTGTTCTATTGCTCGTCGTTATCTGGCAGTTACCTGATTTGTAATCGTTTGTTCATTCTGGTTGGAGGAGTTTAGAATCATTCTTTTGTTTCTGGTTTCCTCGGTTTCTGATTTGGGTTGGTTCGGCTTGTCGGAGTTATATGATATTTATGCTCTTGGCTTCTGTGTGTTAATTCTGCCCCCAGAGATATTTTTGGTTTCTTCCCTCATAGCTAGGGAAAAATTTTTTTTCTCTATTGTATATTTGGCCAGAAAGATTTCATTATTGTGTCTGCATTTTATGCCTCGGACTTGTGGGGTGTTTAGTCACATCCAGACAGGTACAGACTTCTCCGTTTGCCTAGTTGGGTTTCCGAAATTTCTCTACGTCATTTCCTTGAAGCCTTCCCTGTGTAGTCTCATCTGAATCTTCCTGTCACTCTATTCGGTAATGACTCTTTGCTAAGGTGTCGGGCTTTTTGGACGGTTGTCCTCAGTTATTATTCTGTTAGTTACATAACACTTTCTTTGTCTTGGGTTTGCTTGCTGAGGAATAATTTCACTCTGTTCTTCAAATTTTGGTTGACTGGCGCTGGTTGGTTGCGTCTGTTTTTTACTAGATAAGTCTTCTTCCTGTTGGGCGGTTGGGATATTGAAACTTGGGCATTGTTCTTCTTTGGGGTGACTGTACTTATCTCCAGTTGATGCTATTATTTTTTTAACTTAGGGTTGAATTCTATTTAGCCCAATTTAGTATTCGGCTGCTCCCCTTCTTCGTTCGACGATTGGGGGTGGAGTTGCTTTTTATGGAGGAGAATATGAATTGTCAGACTTAAGGAACCTTCGAAATACCATTATTCTAACGTTAGTTTTTCTCTTAAAAGTTTCATGTGTATGGTCTACTGATTTTTATAGCAATATTCTATTTAGCTGTCTTTTGGGGGGATATGGTTACTTGGGATTTGTTTGTTGGGTCCTCGGTTGTCCTGGTGATCTTTTCCAATTGGGTGGCATATGCGGGTTCCTGACTTCTCCTCCCCCTTTTCCTTCATTATGTTATGATTATTTCTGGTTGCCCTTATATTTTCTCTTACCAACTTCTGTTCTACTCTTTCTCCGTTTCTCTGAGTCTTGGTCGTTACACTGATTAGGATCCAGGAGGTGGGGGGTTCTTTGGGTCCTTAGCTTCTGTAAAGACCCTTGCCTGATGAGAAAGACTTGTGGCTGACCTCTAATTGGACGTAGTTGTAGAAACTTCTCTTTGGTTTTGATATGAGCCTTCTTCCTTCCTGAAGTTCCTTCATCTTTGTCTTAGTTCTCTTTCGCTTTTGGTTGGGCTACTTCCTTGGGATCTTCTTTCTTTGTTACTTCTAGTTGGCCTTGTGTTATGAGGTGGTCGTTCTTCTAACTGTTTCTAGTTTCATTTGTTCTGAACTTGCAGTTTAGGGAATCAACTATTCATTTAGCCAGTTATTCTTTGTGGCGTTATGCGTGAGCCTCTCTTCTGTTACGGTTGACGTTCGGCTTCTACGTGTTATTCTGCTAATACTGGGGGGAAAGATGATTCCTAGGCTTCGGGTTGCCTTTTTTCCCTGTGTTGGATCCTTAGACGTCCTTTGGAATTATCATCAATTAACACTCTTTGTTCTGGAGTTTGTTGTTTAGTATTATTGTTTCGCCATATCCTCTCTGGAGATTACTAGTCCTTCTTTGTTTAGGGGGGGACTATTGGTTATTTAGTGATTCTTCTGGGCTGGGTTTCCGGTATATTTCCTCTTCAAGTCATGTTGTTTAGGTAACCTTTGGACTCTTGTCTCAGATTGTCTCTGCCCTTTTAAGTCCTCAACTTTAAGATCATACGACTTTGGGTTTATTTCTTGGGTTTCCTTCCCCGTTATATTTTTTTAGGTGCGTCTCCTCTCGCATCGTTTGTCCCGCCCCTTCTCGGGAGTTGGTTGCTCATTGACCTTTGGGTTTATTGGTCTGGCTTCTTCTCCTTTCTTGGGTATCTTACCAGCTGTTGGCTCTTTTGGGTGGTAGGTTGTGTCGTTTGACGGTGTCTAGACTTTTAGAGTTGCTGTTCTTCTTCGACTATCTTATTAATTCACTTGTAAGTCAAAGGACTGAGACTTCTGCAATTTGATGTTTTCGAATTATTCCTGGCATATTTGGCAGGGGAGCTCGTGTCAAACACGGGTGGCTTGTGTTCCTCAAGATTTTTCCCTTTAGTCTTTCTTTATCCTTTATTTTCATTTTTGCTCTCATCTTGTGGGGAAATGTATTCTTCTCAAGTTATGCTGTGGGGTGGCTGTGTCTCCTGCTATTCTACTCCTATGTTTCTCTCTTTCCTTAGCCTTGGCCTGTATTTTTCAGGCGTATTCTTCCGTCTGCAACCTGTTCCCCTGGGGGGGAGTGTTTTTCTCTGTCCTACTCATTAATCTGCCAAATGTCTCTCAGCCGATATGATGGGGTGTCATAGCTTCTTCTTTTTTAATAATTTCTTGCTCCTACAGCTTCCTTTACTTTTCCGTTTTTTCCTGTTCGGGGGTTGTTTCGTTTTATACTTTAGGTTTGTGTTGTTTATTCTTATTTCTTCTCTTCAATCAGTTTCTTCTGTATGCTCAACTCTACTGGGGGGAGCAGCTCTACAGGGCCCTTTCTTAAGGCTAACCCACTAATTTTTAGGATCTAGTTGTTCTTTTGGTAGAAATTTATCTCTGCTTGGGGCTCGTCTCGGTTGTTTCTCCTTGCGCCTTCCCTTCTTTCTTCTACACTTCTTTATTGAAGTCGCTGGTGCCACTAATACTTTGGTTATCTATCATTCTCCCCACTGCTCCTATTAAGTCCTCGCGGGCTTCTCCTGCCCATTTATCTTTATTTAACTGTTTCTATTTCTTAGAAGTTGGAGGCTTCTCGTGTTTATTCCGGTACTCCTTTTTCCGTCGAAGCTGGTCCTGTCTCTATAGTATATAGGGGATCGCTCGCTTCTTAGCCTCATGAATTATTTTATGGGCTTCAGCTACTATTCCCCTCCTATATAGAGATACTTCCATATCACTCTATAATGGGCAGTTTTGTTGTCCTTGGGGCCTGGCTTATCAAGGTTTCTCTTTTTATTGGTAGGTATTCTTGGTTATTAATTTTATACTTTATAAGTATTTCATATAGCTCTTAGGGATTTTCTGATAACTGTTTCTGATATATATACCTATTCTTATTGATCCCAGGGGTTCTGGGTCTCTGGGTTGTTCTTTTTCCTGGTTTAGATATATTAGTATTATTGTTAGATCATTCTTACCCTCATTGGTTGTTTCTTTTGGGGGTCGTGTTGAGTGTTTTAATAATATATAATCCTAATGATCGTATTCTATTCCCGCCCACCTGGTGGCTCCCAGGCAAAGATATCTCGACTTTTCCCCACGGCTGAATCTGTAAGATTAATTCTGCTTTGTCCACTTGTTTGCCCGTCCTTTTCTATCTTCGTACTGTTTCCTGTCTTGTACTGGCTTGGCATGTGATAATATAGTAGTTTATATTTTCCATAGGGTTTACTGTTGTAGAGGTATACTGGTGGTAAATTTTTGATACTGCCGCTCTGCTCCTATTTGGAGTTCTGTTCCTTCTTGTCTTTTGCTTTTGCTTGGTCCCTTCTCCTTCCTCTTTTTAGTAATTACTGTATACTGATCATTCTAAAGATTTTCTTATGATGTTGATCTCCATATGTCTCATTTTTTCATAGGCTTTATTAAACCTGCTTCAGTGTTTATAGTTTCCTCTTTCGGCTGTTCCCGGTACGCCTTCCTAGCTGTTTGTGCCTGTGTTCTCACCCTGTCTCCTTGTTTACACTAGTTCGTCCCATTTATGGGCGCGTATGGCTTAACCTATTTTATTATGGCGCAAATTCTATATTCCTTTTTTTCCTTTTTCTGTTCCTTTGTTTTCTTGTGTCTTTGGTCTGTTTTTCTTATAATATACCCTATGTCTTATCAGTAAATTTTTAACCATTATTTGATGTTGTTCCGCTAGGTTATACACTTTTTCTTCTCTCCTCTTTAGTAGGTCACGACAACTCTTTTTATATCATACTTCATGATATGCTCTATAGCAACGAAAATATCATATAAGCCACAACATTTGGTATCCAGCTATTTAAAATGTTATTCTTCTGCCACCTGGGGGGTAAATATATATTATGATAAAGTATTGAAACATAGAGAGTTCCCTGTTTATTCATATGATCCCCACAACAACTCACGAATCCTTTCGAAAATTTCGGTTAATTAATCATGTGGAATAACACACAATAGGTTCATAAAACTATTTGACTCATTATTAAGTGAGGGAACTTTTCTATTATCGCTTATATGCCCATATAGCATTACACTTAAAACTCATATAAAAACCATATCACTGCCAAAATGTTCATGTATTTATGGACTTCTTCTCATTTTTCAGAAGAACCTCATAATTCTATGGTGGTGTAAGACTCCTTTATAGGACATGTCTTTATGCCAATAGGGGAATGTATGCATTTTATCGGCTTATACTTCCTTATGCATAAATGGGGTTACGAATATCACTTAACATTCTATATCCTCCCGTGGTGAACAATGAAACGCCTTGTATATCATCATCTACAGTTTTAGATACAGACAAAAATGAAGTTACCTTAGGACTTATTATACTTCATGGACTCAGCACAGATTCAAGATATTATCTGTCCCTATCCTTCTCCTCCTATGTCAGAAAACATGAAATCCCTTATTTCATATATCTATCTTTTCTCAGCGAAAGATCGGGTGCTCACATTCTCCCCTAGGTGGCACCCTTATTGTTTTTCTCGGTTGTATGCTTTGGGGGTAGTGTATAATCCTCATCCCCTCAGCATCTTTCCCTGTCTCCTCTCTTCTCGTGCTGTTTCCTCTGTAGTTATTAATTATGTATCTCTTCTTTTAGGCATTTCCCCTCTGATCATTATGTTTATATCTCCACTGGGTTGTTGTGTATTTATATGGTTCTACATATATCTCTCTCCGTTCTCTGAAGTAGATAATTTTCTCAAATATCTCAGTTGTATTCGTATATACATTCTATTATAGTCATCCGCTCCTATATGATTGCTTCCCCCCTTTTTAGATTAATGAGTCTTTAATATCTTATGCGTATTCTTATTCTTATGCTCATTTTATCTGCTTGGCGTGTTCCATGTTATTATTATTCCTAACTCTCCACGAGAATCAGCCCGTTCTATATAGTACTATTCCTTTTATAATTTCCTATTCCACCCTAGGGTATAAGAAGTTTAATCTTTCATCTTACTAATTGTTATATTTTAATAGTACCCCATCGATCTTGAGTTTTCTTAAGAGGAAAATACTACAGATTAAGGCAGGTGTGCAAATCTTCCGTAATCATTGTTTCTTAATAGTACCCGGATAATTATTGAATCTATATTACAATAATATCGAGACGGAATAATCACATTTCACGATGTATTACTGTACTTACAGTGTTACTTGGCCTATAAAAAGTTCTTCCTATATATAAGCACCCTTACTATGTTGAAACCCTTCTTAGTGATAGTATCCCTCAGTTTCCTATACAGCATGAATAGCCTTATGATTGGTATATGATTATTCCTGGAATGGAATTATTTTACAGGCCAGTGTATTGGTGAAATGGTATGATCTTTACAAGTGCCGTCCTCCTGATGGAATTGGACTCTCTAAACCTTTGTATTATCTTAAACAATTTCTCTCCTCACAGAGCACTGTTCTACATAGAATATTACCCTTGACAGAAGCTTATCCTTTAAACTGTTGTTGTAAGGCTAATTCTTACATTTAATACAAATATACAGCAGGCATCTCGTATTTTCTATATATGTGTAACGCTTAGTGATTGGAACCCCTCCAAGAATACCGCTGAATCCACTCTATTATCTCTTACTAAATATCTCTTTTTAAATTATGGTGCTCTCTGCTTTAAATCTTGACGACTCCACAATAGTGACTCTCCGGATTTTCCTACTGTTTATGCAGTGATACTCTAGAGAAATGTCTCCTTCTCACATACTTAATAATGGTCGAGAAAAATGTACTCCTTATATATTAGTCTTCCAAGGAAGTGTATATCCTTTTCCTCATTCTATTCTTCAAATAATAGCACCCGTTGGCCTAACTTCTCCTTATAAACGTATTCCAGTTATAGTCATAAAACCCGCACGATTATGTTCCTGATATGATGGTTCCCCATCGGGATTTGTTATCTTCAGCCAATAATAGTCTCCAAATAAAAGAACTGTAAAATATGAACTTGGTGCAGAATAATATTCAGGAGTCATGTATACAGTACACAAAATAATACTGGAGGTATAGACGCATGGTTCATATAACATGGCTGTATGCTAAGCGTACATTCCACAGGCCCGTAGTCCTGGGTGGAGTGGTATTTTTTAATTAATACTACACATAAATCATTATTCCTCAATTAGCCACGTTCTCCAATTAGTCGTATCTAAAACGCTATGTTATGAGGCGTTCAAATAAAAGCATTCCTGCGACATTGTACATTACAAACAACATTTCCGCTAGAATCCTTGCATTTTCCATATGCTAGTATTTCTGCTTCTATTGTATTACTCCGGAAATAATACATTCGGCACATCTATACCGCTTGCACCTGGGCGTAATTAATGGCTTGCTGTTTTCTTTAGAATGTAGCCCTCAATTCTTCACATAATACTATTTCATAGAGATCTATACTCATCGACGATTGCTGTTGCCCAAAGAATAGGAACCGAAAGTTGGAACACATAGCCCGCAATTCACACATTTCTGCATTTTCGATGGGCATATTGTAGGAAAATCCTTATCTTTCAAAGGACGGTTCTTGAGAATATCTGTATCCCTCATACAATACTGTATTTTGAATATCATTGCACTCCACAGAATGCCACTTCTCATTTTCCCTGCTCTCTACATATCATATGACTGCAGGGACAATAATTTCTCTCAAATAAATGTGCTACAACCTTTGTTTTAGTTATATAATATTTTCCCTTGCTTACAATAACAACATAACCGGTAAACCTATACAATAATATTCCCGATACAGCCGTATTCTTTACCAGCATTGACACTTTAGACACATGTGTACTGTTTATATCATCATACCTTTCATATAATAATACACCAGGTATATTTGTTTATCTCATTTAATGGTTTTCTTCATACAATATCATCGTAGGCATGGACGACGGATAAAGATAACGATACGGCATACATGTCCACACACTTTAAATCATAGTACTCCTTGTACAGTAGTATTCACTTTACAATGCTATGCTTAATATAATGATACTCCGAAAACCTCCCCACTATTCACATAATAGTACTCTAGGAATGTTATCAGTGGGAGCGAATAAGTAATTCTTAGACAATACTCCTTCACGCACATGTGTAAAGTTGCTCGAGCGTTGATCCTCCAATCATGCAGTTCCACACATTATACGCCTGTTAATATAATAACACTCCAGGGAGTGCTATGAATTCCGGAATATGGTTCTTTCCCTATAATAGAAGCCTAAACAATAGGCCATGATGTTCCACCTCTTTTAATAATTGTGCATGGGGGGTATCCAAAATCCCACCACAATTGTGCACTCCAAGACATCACCATAGGGAGATATGAGTACACTCACAAGACGTCGCCGCAGATCCTCCGTACGTTTTATACAATTATGTCCCTAAATGGACAGTACTTTGGAGATATCAGAATAGATCAACCATTAATACCCGCATATAACAGTACTACGAGAATCTCCGCATTCGTCAACATGGGAAATGGGGACACATGTATACTTCCTTCTCATCTATCCTTGTAGAATATGCATCCATTTCATAGAATATTACCCTACGAATAATGACACTCCTCGAAAATCAGTATTCTTGACACAATAATACGGTTAACATTATAGTGGCCCTTGCATAGCTCTACTGTTTAGGCAAAATCATTGGAGGCCAATTGTCGGATCTGCAGAATCTCCCAAGTCATATCATCCAGCCATTATACCAACATGAAGACCCTTCAAATAATGCTATTCCAAGGACAGTTGTACTCATCAGGAGAAACTATTCTGTACATAACATCAGTGTTCTTGAAGTAATCTTGCAATTCACACCTTCATGTTTCCCACAAAACTGTACCCCCCATACGGAGGTACTATGGCAACTTCCACACGTTGCGTAACGGTGGCACCTCGTCATACGGCACAAAACTAAGTTAGAAATTCTACACTCCCCCTTACTTTACTTAATAATACCGGCTTAACTCTGGCACTCATCAAATGGCGTCGTACCAGGCATATCAGGCATCTTTAGATATGAGTACTATACATACATCTGTACTGTCTCCATACGAGTACTGCAAGACGTGAATACTCGTTCAGAAAATATCCTGTTTAGATAAGAGTATTATCCACACGACAGGGCTGTAAACGCATCGATACTGCTTTTACACCAGTACCCTCCCAAAGAATTGTACTCCAAAGGTTATCTTACTCATAAAGGCAGGAGACTCCACACATCATGGTTCCGTTAGTATAGTAGCCTTCCAGGTGATCCAGATAGCTCGACTACTAATACTTTCATAGAACAGTACTATGGGGACTTCCGGACTCCTTACCATTGAGAAAGTAGAGACAATGGTACTCCCTAAACAATAGTTATACTGGAATATCCATGGACTTCACAGAATAGGGCCGTCCATGTAATGAAAGCATAAACCCTGAATCTTTCACATACACTAGTACATGCACCACTATACTCGTCACATAATAGTAGTACACTTATATCCGCCCACATTCCTGGGAATGGGAATCCACCCCAGTATTGTACAGATAATGGTATCCAGGGCGCCCCTTCATTCCTGAAATACCAATGCAATAATGGTGTGACTATCTTCCATATATGAGTACTACAAACACCTGGTTACGTGTCATATACAGTAACACTGAAGGATATCCTTACCCTTTACGCATATGTGCTCCTCGAATAATATCACTGCAGTCACAAGGGTACTGCTCAGATAACAGTTCTCCAGGACATCCCTACATCTTATATGGTACTGCATTCAAGATGCTGCTGGACTTCACACAATGGCACTCTCCATTTACTGACGCTTTCCACATTGAATGAACGCTGGTATATTGGGGTTCCGGAAATAAAGGTGGTTCGGGCGGTGCTCTGGGTTCAAACGATTTAGCTTTTTGTACAATACTTGGATAATCCCTCGACGCCCATATAATAATAGTGCCCGTACAGACTTTTACTTCACAACCATGGACACTTATTGCATGTTCCACCATCTCATACAGTTGTGCTCTTTATATAAAACTACAGCACGTATATCTGTCAACTTCATCCCTTGGTATCATTGAGATAATACTATTCCTGAGACACACATACACGGTTGAAATAATGGTATCCCCTGTATTTCAATACTATTTAAATCATAGTACGGCTCCCACATTAGTATTCATCCCCACATTGTTATTCCTCCCATATGAATACTTTGCACACATGCACACTATTCATATGATAGTATTCTGGGAATATCAACACTTGAAGTTAAGAAGTTATTATCACACATGGGTAATTTAGGCATATCCGTACACTTGGTAGGACGGTGCTGCCAAAATCATGGATCTCTACGCATTTCACCGCTCGTAATATAATTATATCTCAGGGATTGCTACCAGTCTGAGAGAGCAGTGTTCTTCGTATAATACAAACGGAAATCCAGGGCCTCGGAGTTCAAACAACTCAGATATCCGTGTTTCAGGGACACTTATAATTCGCGCATAACCCTGCTTCCTAAATGATAGTACTGCGCACATATGAGTATACTCACAGAATAATGCTTCAGATTAGGCATACTTCTTACGGAGGTATCCTATTCAAATAACAATGCACAACAGATATTACCCCGGTCAACCATTAGTACATTCATATAACAATACTACGGCAACTTTCGTAATCATGATCATCGCAAACCCATACACATCTGTACTGTTCACGCAATAGTTTGGTTCCACTATCCATACACTGGACGAGATAGTGCTCTCTAAATGACACTCGTGGAATATCAATATTTCACACACAGATCTACGGTTCATATCATAGTACTCCTGGCACCATAGTACTATCGAAACAATGATCTCCTTAACATTTCTTAAAGGTTGTACAATCCCTTACTTCATATAATTGGACCATTAAACTTAAATCGAAACCCTTTACATAATGGCAACTCAAAGGCAACCATGCTCTTCTAGGGACAGCATTCCATACATAACCATAATAATCTTCAAAAGATGGAGCATTGAAGAGGTCTATGCGGTTTACACCATAGTACGCTTCATATAAAACTATTACGGGAACAGTCATATCATCCATAGTGTAACTCTCTGCATATGATAAAACATTATGCCATATATCTTATCGACTTTAACATACATTACTTCACAGTACGGTCGTAAGTTTGTCACTCTTCGAATAGTAACGTACCAGGCATCTTAATACTTTGCACATATGAGTACGGCATATACCTATATACTCTTCACAGAATGATACTTCGAGTCATCGATACTTCCCATACAACTGTGCACTTCGAAGGGAGGTATAATCCAAACAAGAGTATTATTAACATAACGGTATTACTTGTACAGGCGTACTTCATAAAGAAGAGTACCACAGATATAGTCCAACTAATGAAGCTACATAAGGACGGAGACAACGCTATCCGTAGCACAACTTCACTCCTGTAACATCAATACTCAGGACAAGAAACTCCTCTTAACATCATCATACTCCCTGAGTAGCAATACTCTTTAAGTAATAGTATTACAGAGGGGCCCTAGAAGCTCCGCAATCCCGCATGTCATGTCATGAAGTCTTTAGACTTACATAAAGACACTTGACCTCCTGATTATCCAAGGATAAGCTTATTTCTCGAGGTACACCGCTTCGCACATAACAGTAGTCTTCTTAAATTAACAGTGTACTTCACACATTAGCACACTCAACGCAAAAGTATTCTTCACATAAGAAAATTACTGGAGTTTTTGCACTGCTCATACAATAGGTCTCCGCAAATGGCAGAAGTTTACGCCCCATATATCCTATTACCCGAATACATCACTTAATACGACTGTTTTGACCTCGCCATCCTCCAGGTACCGGTGTACCAGGCACGTCGGCTATTTCCACATATGAGAATTATACATACATCTGCACTCTCCGCATATTGTTATTGCAAATCATGAATACTCAGTAAGACAGTAGGCTATTTAAATAACCCTATAATCCACACAACAACACTCTTAACTTGACACTACTGCTGGCACACATGTAATCTTTCATAAGATCGTATTTTGAATATAAGGATATTCATTATGAAACAACACCTAAAGGTGCAGCTTAGTATGATAACACTAGAGGTCATGGAAATAGTTATGCTACTAGGACTTCCATATGACAATACCATGAACATCTCCAGATTGGGAACCTTTGAAAATCCCGACACTTTAGTACGATTTAAATGAGGGTTCTAGAGTATCTATGCACTTCACGAAAAACTACTACACGTGCATCCCCGGTCTGTACCGATGTCAGCAGGGGACACCAGTATTCTGCAAGGAGAAATACCCCAAGCGGCCTTGTTCCCCTGGTGTAAGGAAACGATAAGCATGTCAGTACTTTGCACATATGAGTAGTACGGAAACCTCAATAGGCTTCCTACAATAACATTCCAGGAAAGTCCATACCCTTAACGCAACTTTGCTTTTCAGATAACAGTAATATCCACCTAACCCTAATCTTCAAGCATTAATATTCCATGCACATCATGACTTTTAAAGCAATAATACACCAGCGATAAGAGTGCCCTCTTTCACATCGATAGATATTCATGTTTGGTAATGCTACCACATCAGTATGGTAATTCCATTTATACTTCACATAGGTGGACATCCTCATAAATAGCCGAAGAAAGGACATGTCTTCCTAATGGCTCCACATAGAGATAAAGAAGAATAAGTCCTTCAGAATTTTATGGAAGAAAAATCTCTAATAAAAAACAATGACATACAATACAACATATCCGGAAAGATGCAGCCAGGAGGGCATCTTCACAATGAGGTAACGTGAGAAGACATTTTAACAATAATCGATGCAAAAGAACATCTTCAGAGGGACGAAACCGAGAAAGGTCGGGGATATACCAGGAGAAAAAATAATCATCATAAAAAGAATAAAGGACGCAACAGAATCTTAACCATGCCGCGGAAAACCAGAATATTCATAAAGGAAATCACACAACAGAGGACATCTTCAGGATGCCGCAAGAAAAGTACATCGTCGTAGAAAACATGACACACAAAGAAAAATCTTCACCATGCCGCGGGAGGAAGAAGCATCCATATAGAAGAAATGACACAAAACCATATATTCAAGCTTC